TCTACTCCCAATTATTCCTGCGTAAAATGGAATAGCCTCTTTCCATGTTGACATTCTGAGTAAAATCACGTGATAGGCTGTTAAAATTGGTTGTTACATACTCTTTCGCCGGTCTGGAAAATGTGTTTAATGAGCTCTCATTCAATCGACAATGCATGTTTTCCAGTTGGAGTGAACCTAGTTCGACTCTGCCATAAAAAATAGGAGTGTTTTCAGCAAAAAACGAATAACCCTTGAGTGCACACAATACACAGAATTTCAGAACAAATCTTGCATTAGTTACAGCAGCAGAATACCACAGAAATATCAGATGAAACATGAAAACACTATATATTGTACTTCGGCCTGAACCCTCTCTATTGCAATTCCAGGAATTACCCCCATATGTTCAACCATTTTCCACCTTGGTAATACCCACCCCTGAAAACAAATTCTTAATACCACGCTGAAGCGTTTGGTAATGATAGCACTACAAACTCTTTATCTTAAATTCCCCTTCCCCATTTATGCATTTTTACACAGTAAAGTTTCTAAAGCAAATAAAGTAACATGTAAAAAAGACTTTTCATCAAATACTAACAAATATGGATGCACTAGCATGTTGCAAACCGGTTCCAGATCAATGCAGTAAGTGGTTTAAACTATCAACTACATGCTAAATAGATGATGCATCAACAATTTAGTTTCCTTAGCCAATTGTAAATTTAAAGAATGGAACTCTTTCAATTTTATATCATCCAAAATGGCAGCCAAAATTGGTACAAATCAGCAGACGCTTCAATGCACTTAGTATATACCTGTAACACACTTTGGATTAACGTGAATAGCAGTTACGAAGCAATAGTCAAATTATTCTGAAGTTGTTTATTCCTTGGTAGATAACAAAGGACTGGTGGTAACACAATTACTTCAGATTGTCTAGATCCCTGATATATGGCCACGGAACCATTTTACCAATATACATTTTGAAAGTGTATTAGTTAACATTTGCTCTTAATTGTTGAACATTTTTGGATCGTAAATATAATATGATATATAGAAGTTATACCAGTATATGAATCAGGTTCCCCCTGTAGTCATCGCATTGAAAGATGGTGGATAGCGCAACAACCAACAATTCATCATTCATAAGTTTTTTTCTCAATCAATCATGTGTGGTTTTTATTCATAGGTGGCATTTAGGATATTGTAAGGAAGAGTATCTTCCAAATAAACGTGGCTTTGATTCTTTTTATGGTTGGCTGGGAGGGGGAACCGACCTATACACTAAAGAGAATATACTCGGTAAGTAAAATAAAGTATGGGAAAACCGTATAGACTGCGAACAACAATGTTTAACTGTTTTAAAGTTAGAGAATACCTACGAGCATGCTGGTGTTTTATTTTTATTTTTCAATACTCCAAGTTGCCCAGTGTGTTTCATCATATTTCATTTGTTTCGCTTTGCGTTAAATTTTATATTACTCTTGGCTAGCATTACGATTTTCTCTTCATAAATTCTAGCTAGGATCTTACAATTCTTTGCCTAAATCTCTTTTTTTTGGTAAATTCTGAATGTTTCGTCTCATTATTTGTACACTAGAAATATTCGGATGAGGCGTTACTAGGCAGTGCTAAATGTCATTCATTTACCCATTTAGGTTCAGGATATGATTTCCGCGACAACACCGGAGTGGTACAAGAAAGTGACACGTATCTCCCAGTGAGTAATGTCTCTTTGGTTACAAACTTTGATATTAAGCCGGATATTGTCAGCTTCCAGAAGGAGTATAACAATATCAGCACCATATATACGAATATAACTCAGATCGTAGTGGTGACGGTACCGTCTACCTGTTTTAATTAGCTCCAAATTGGAAATTTCTCAAGTCAATCATCTATTGGTAGACCAAACACGTTCTACATGGGTTTTTTAATCTCCAATCATACATGAAATTGTTTTAATCAATTTGCTACTTTAAAATCATTCCTTCAATTGACTAAGTTCACATTGCATAAACTCTTATTAAGACTTTTGGTAGCAACGGCAAAAACGAACACTTGGACTGGATTAATTGCCCTCTGCGAGGCACTGAATAGACTACGACATCGCCGCAATGACTGGAAGTTGCGGTTTTGACTATAATATTTCGTTTACACAAAACAACAATGGATTTCGGCACGATATTCAATAATTAATGATGTAAGCATATTTTGACAATATCGGGTTTTACAAGAATCTATGCACGTTTTTACTTTCACTTAATTTGATAGAAACTAAGTAAAGAATAATGTAATAATGATTTTTTAATTGTAGTTATTTTTTTCCTTTTTAAAGTTCATGCTTGCTGACAGAGCGGTAGATATAGTAATGGGACATTACAAGGAATATCCACTGTTTCTGGAGTTCAGTATGGCCTTACCTGGAAAATTTCTTAAGGTAACTCATTCATTATTTTGATATACAGTAGAATGCCGACAATGGTACAACAATTAAGACATATATATACTAGAATGAATTAGGCAATTTGTGTAATCCACCACATAAGACAATTAAGATATAGTTTCGAATAATAGATTATATTAATTACGTGTATGTATGGTTGTTTCCTAGGTACCCCAGGAATACGAAGATTTGTATTCCGATATCGAAGATGAGCGACAAAGGAAATTTTATGGTATGTATAATTTGAACATCGTTGTATCTAGAGACACTGAAATATCGAATCATAATCAATTTCAAACATGGAGATTGATATGTACAATGAAACCAAACAATTTCATAATATTCAGATTTTAATGACAAAAGTCCGTTATATACAAGATTTGTTTAGTAGTATAAAGTCTTCGGACTGTAATGGCTGCCATGATGAAGTAGTCCATATGCTTCATAGGTTTTTGCGCTCCGTCATCTAGATGCCAGCAAGTCCATGTCTAATTTGCATGTATATTTAGGTTCATTCGAATATCATTGTATAGAAGCATTTCATTCCGAAATAAAACAATTGATTTAAAAGGAGTTGTATTACTGTAATTGTTTTTTTATTGAATTACTCGAGAAGCATTTCAAATAATTTATTAACACTATCCTGAGCATCAATATGTTAATTTTTTTAAATCTCATGGTCACAAAACAACTGCTCCCTATTCTATTTGACTTGTATATTTCAGGTTCGCCACAATTTTTCTAATTACCAAAAATGTGATGACGTTGTAAATAGTTTACCCCAGATTGATTAGTACGGTTAAACAATAGCCAGAAGTTTTATAAAAAAACTGGGGTTAAATAGACAAACATTATATTATTTTAATTTTTCAGGAAAAATGTCTGC